TTACACATTGTGACATCACTATACTGCGCTATGATATCACAATTACATATTGAGACATCACTATTGTCCAGTGTGACATCACAATTATACATTGTGACATCACTATATTGCTCTGTCACAATTACACATTGTGACATCACTATACTGCACTATGACATCACAATTATACATTGTGATGTCATTATACTACATTGTCACATCATACTTATACATTGTGACATCACTATACTGCACAGTGACATCACAATTATACATTGTGACATCACTATTCTGCAATGTGACATCACACTTATACATTGTGACATCACTATACTGCCCTGTGACATCAGAAGTTTACATTGTGACATTACTTTACTGCACTGTGACATAACAATTAGACATTGTGACATGATTATACTGCACTATCACATCTCAAATATCCATTGTGATATCACTATACTGCTCTATGACATCACAAATATACACTGTGACGTCACTATAGTACACTGTGACATCACAATTATACATTGTGACATCACTATCCTGGTCTGTCACTACACATTGCGACATCACTATACTGCACTATGATATCACAATTACACATTGAGACATCACAATTACACATTGAGACATCACTATTGTGCACTGTGACATCACAATTATACATTGTGACATCACTATACTGCTCTGTAACAATTATACATTGTAACATCACTATTCTGCACTGTACCATCACAATTTTACCTTATGACATCACTTTAGTGCACTGTGACATCACAATTATACATTGTGGCATCACTATACTGCACTGTGACATCACAATTTTACATTGTGACATCACTATACTGCTCTGTAATAATTACACATTGTGACATCACCACACTGCACTATGACATCACAAATATACACTGTGACGTCACTATAGTACACTGTGACATCACAATTATACATTGTGACATCACTATATTGGTCTGTCACAATTACACATTGTGACATCACTATACTGCACTATGATATCACAATTACACATTGAGACATCACTATTGTGCACTGTGACATCACAATTTTACATTGTGACATCACTATACTGCTCTGTAATAAATACACATTGTGACATCACCACACTGCACTATGACATCACAATTATACATTGTGACATCATTATACTGCACTGTGACATCACAATCATAAATTGTGACATCACTATTCTGCACTATAACATCACAAATATACATTGTCATATCACTATACTGCTTTGTAACAATTATGCATTGTGACATCCCTATACTGCACTGTGACATCACAATTATACATTGTGTCATGACTATACTGCACTATGTCATCACAATTATACATTGTGACATCATTATACTGCACTGTGACATCACAATTATACATTGTGACATCACTATACTGTACTATGACATCACAAATATACATTGTGACATCACTGTACTGTACTATGTCATCACAATTATACATTGTGACATGACTATACTGCACTATATCATCACAATTATACAATGTGACATCACTATACTGCACTGTGACATCCCAATTTTACATTGTGACATCAGTATACTGCTCTGTAACATTTACACATTGTGACATCACTACACTGCACTATGACATCACAAGTATACATTGTGACATTACTATACTGCACTATGTCATCACAAATATACATTGTGACATCACTATACTGCCCTGTAACATCACAATTTTACATTGTGACATCACTATACTGCACTGTAATATCACAATTTTACATTGTGACATCACTATACTGTACTTTGACATCACAATTATACAGTGTGACATCACTATACTGCACTTTAACATCACAATTATACATTGTGACACCACTACACTGCACTGTAACAATATTGCATTTGTGAGTCTACAAGCCTCCACTGTGACACTGTAATGCTGCATTGTAGTATCACAACTCCACTGTGACAACAAGAAGTTTATTGTATCATCGTAATGCCTCATGGCATCACTATTGTATTTGTACCTATTACCTTCCAAACCCAGTAAATTGCTAATATTTATATAAGCCCACATCATGAATTCTTAAGTAAAGCATATATCTGCAAGTTCAAAGATGGCCTGGTCTATACAGCTCGTTCCTGTCCAGGCAGGGCAACGTAGAGAGACCCTTACTCAAAAAACAAAAACAAACAACAAACAAAATCTCCAAAGTCCATGGACTGGGAAGATGGCTCACTTTTCAAAATGCTTGCTCTGAAAGCATGAGGACCTGAGTTTGGATGCCCAGCATTCATATAAAAAGTTGCATGTAGACTGTCAAAACATAAATTTGATGATGATGATGATAATTTGGGGTAGCACATGTAACTGTAATTCCCACACTGTTGAGGTGGAGAAAAGCAGGCCCTGAGCTGACTTCTGCATCTGGTCTGGTCAAATCAGTGATCTACAAACAGATTCAGTGAGATTCTGTGCCCACTGACGGTTGAGCGTGATTGAAGATGACACCAGAAGTTGTCCCCTGGTTCCACATAGATGCACACCAATCTACATATACATGTATATTGAGATAGCCGATGCTATAGGAGATACAATATATTTATTTACCAGAGAGAGAGCCACACAAGCTAGGCGTTAGAATTGTGGCTGGCTTCCAAGAAAAAAAAGAGAGGGTCCTTTTCCTTTCACTTCCTTTTATCTCTACCTGTGCTAATTTACTTGTTCCCGCCCTCGTGGGCGGATAGCTTTGTGGGGTTCACTCCTACACATGTACACACACATGAACACACACACACACACAAGTCAAACTGCAATTCAAAACTTGCAATTACTATAGTTTTGAGAACTCATTAATTAAAAAAAATACTGAGAAATATAGTCCTTTCTGAATCCCACAGTGGAGATACCAACTCCTGAAAGTTATCTTCTGACCTCCACCTGTGTGCAGTGACTCTACTCTTTTTTTGTTTTTGTTTTTACGAGACAGGGTTTCTCTGTATTGTTTTAGAGGCTGTCAGTCCAGCCCGGCCTCGAACTCACAGAGATCTGCCTGCCTCTGCCTCCCGCGTGCTGGAATTAAAGGCATGCACCACCAACGCCCAGCACAGTGACTCTACTCTTACACACACACACACACACACACACACACACACACACACACACACACACACACACACGCACAAAATCAACTTTTGCTACTTTCCATTCCATGATTCTGTATGTGTGTATGTACACACACATGTATGTATTCTAATGTGTGCATCTTTGAGCGTATTTGCCGTGTGTGGTGTGGGTGGCCAAGGAGGCTAGGAGAAGGTGTCACATACCTGGGGCTGCCTGATGTAGGTACCTGGACTAGCAGCAGGTACTCTTACTGGCTAAGCCATCCCTCTAGGCCCTGCATTTGCATCCTTCAACTCCTGCTGTGCCCTGGGCATTTTCATGACCCAGTTCTAAGGCGTTCTGGAAACTTTTGACATACCATCACATCCCTTAGTGAGAGGTGGGACTTGTTTTATCATATATGTCCCCACACAAACCTTCCATCCAGTCTCATTGACTGTTGTGAATCTCCAAGAGCTTCACAGAGCTGTGCAAGTATCAACTGGCTGCTTGGTCACCATAGCAGCTGGCATTTTCCAGGCAGGAATCTACGGTGGTTGTAGAATAGAGTTTCAGTAGAGTCTTCTTGACATGGGATTCATTGCTTTGTTCCTCCAAAGACTGTGCTACCTTTTATGTTTCGTTGTCCTTGAGCAGTTCTCTTCTGTGCTAGTCACTGCCGTTTCTACACTGTACTCGGGGGCGGCCCACATCTTTCCGCCAGAACCAGAAAGCCAGGTAGAAGGAAGCTTTTGTTTTTAATCTAGGGCAGACATTTGTTATAAAAGGTAATTTAAAAATTACCAGAGGTTGTGGAGCCCGTAGGGTTGAGAAGATTTTCCAGCCACAATGACAGTGGAGGTGGTTTGCAATGACCATGCAACACTGACACCGTATGGGACTGGAAGAAACTGGTGCAGCCCAAAGTGGTGTCCACTGGAGTAAGATTGCTCTTTAAAGTAGAACACAACTTTTAAGCACTGTGTGTCTCTGGAGATTACAAAACCCATGATGGGATGAACCTGGAACTTTATTACCAAAAAGGGAGTTTCTTTTCCTTGCCCTGCTCTGCCTTCCTCACTCACAGCTGGCATGAATGTCCATTTTAAACAATTCACACAAATAAAAACTTCAATGCTAGAAAGAAAGCAATTTTGAAACTCTGTGAGAGAGAGAGAGAGAGAGAGAGAGAGAGAGAGAGAGAGAGAGAGAGAGAGAGAGAGAGAGAGAGAGAGAGGAGGTCAGAAGACAACTTCTGGGAGTCTGTTCTGTCCCTCCACCATTCATTCCACCATGCAGACCCTAGGAAATGAACGCAGGTCATCAGGCTTCAGGCTCGGCAGTAAGCATCTTTACCCCCTTGAGCCTTCTTGGCCCTGTTTGTTTTTATACAGTTTTCTTTTTATTTTTTTTCCTCCCATTCTTCCCACCAACCCCCATCCACTCCCCAGGGAGGGTGAGGCCTCCCATGGGGGGTCATCAAAGTCTGTCACATAATTTGGGGCAGGGCAATGTATCAAGGCTGATAGAGTATCCCTCCATAGGGAATGGGCTCCCAAAGTCCATGCACTAGGGGTAAATACCGATTCCACTGCCAGAGGCCCCATAGACTGCCCTGGTCTCCCAACTTACACCCATAATTAGGGGGCCTGGTTCGGTCCTATGCTGGTCTCCCAGCTGTCAGTTTGGGATCCATGAGTTCCCACTTGTTCAGGTCAGATGTTTCTGTGGGTTTCCCCAGCATGGTTCTGACTCCTTTGCTCATCACTCCTCCCTCTCTACAACTGGATTCCAGAAGTTCAGCTTTTAATGTAGTTTTCACTTGCTGCAGCTTCCTACATCCTGGACACAAGTCTTTTATCAGGAATATGCTTTGTGTAACCTACTTGGTGTTTCCCAGCTAAAGTGAAAGATCAGGAACTCACCGTTTCATTGATGGCTTTGAGGGGGAAAAGACAGTCTTTATACAGGTAAAACAATCTAACAATACCTGAAATAGAGAAATAAGAGGCTGTGAGACCGGGGAGCCAGGCAGGGTCGAGAGTGTCTGACTCCAAACTCATCAGCCCGCCCTTGCTTTGCTGCCCCATATGGCCTATGCTGCTCTTGGGTCTCCCAGCCTTCCTCCACCTTACCTTGAAATATTCAATTTGCTCTCCCTCCCAGTCCCCTCCTACTTAGCTAGTGTTACCCACTTTTTCTGGAAGTCTCTGTAAGCACACCAGTCACAGCAGTCTGTCCCGCACTCCCAGCCCCTACTCTGGCCATCATCACACACTGGCGCCCAACCGTTTGCTGTGAATGTGTTGGGTTCATAAGCTCCTTTGAGAGAAAGGATTATCCTTCACCTTTCCATGTGCCTTAACCTCCTAGGTTGCTTGTGCAATTAAATCTGTTGAATTCAGGATGCAATTGTCACCTACCATGGCATCTTACCTTCCTTTAGGTGCCTCCTAGTTACTCATAACCTGCCTTTGCACCCACGATATAGACAGATCACATAAAGGCACTTGGCCTACTGTGGGTGAAATTCTAACCCAACCTAATAAAGAGTCATGGGATAGGCATTCCCTGACACCGTACAGGGGATGCCAAGGCAGTCTGCATTCAAAGTCACAAAAAGAAGGTAACACAGACCTGAAACTACCGGATAATGGATCACAGTGAATATGGCTTTTTCTTTAACCCAAAGTCCCAGTGTCCTACACAGATATCCTCCAGGTACCTCAAATCTGTGGGGTGTTCAAATGGACTTCTTCAACTCACATGCTGAGCACCTTATTTTCCTACCATTGTTATCAAGAAATGGCACCGTCACCCATTCAGAAAGAAACCATCCCTGTCTATGCTACCCAGCATGCCTCCTTCACCATAAATGGGTTTTATCATTAAGTCTTTTTGGCAGAAAGGATAATTGAAACAGGCTCTCATGTAATTCAGGATGGCCTCAAAAAACCTAAGCAGCTGAGGATGACCCTGAATTCCTGACCTTGCTTCTGCCTCGCAGGTGCCTGGTTACATTTTTATTACAACTTATTTATCATTAGAAGGGGGCAGGCACTTGTGCACTTGTACCACACAGGCAAGTGGCAGTCACAGGACAACTTGTGGGAGTCAGTTCCCTCCTTCCCCCAAGTGAGTCCTGGGGATGGAACTAAGGCATGACAGCAAGCCTTTCTACCCCAGGAGGCGACCCTGCCAGCCCTCATTTCATGTTTAAGTTTTTCGTTTTAAACTAATTTTACACCTAGAGGAAAGGCACAAACAACCAAAAAGTCCCCTGCATCCTCCACCTCGCTTCAGCTAAATTCACGTCTTGGCCCATCACAGTACCATTTTCTTTTTCTTTTACCACACCTGTCCTGGCTCTGACATTCAAATTTTCTCTCGTAAATGAAAACAGCAGTCCTTCCTGCACAGCCCCCCAGGCCCCCATTTTCTCTCTCCCCCTCATCCCCCTCTGGTTTTTACTGTTTTCAAGGTGCCCAAGGGTACTTCAATGTACTTTCATGGGTGACGCTGGGTAGCAGGGCTCTGTGTTGGAAGGGTATGAACTTTGGGGCTATCCTGGTTTAAAATGTCCTTGTGCCGTTTATTTCTATTTACCTCAGTCATTTCATCTACATGCCTCAAGATGTCTCTTCCAAACATGATGATGATAAACTGTACTTCCTTTGGACAGGTGATGAACCAAATCGGCTACCATATGAGAAACGTTAGACTAGTCCTGGCACACCTTATTCGTACGGAGATAGGTAGTAGTTACAACTACATGAGAGAGAGAACTCACCATGCCTCTCCACCCACACTTGGAAAAGAGATTAAATGAAGAAAAACAAATACCTAGTTCATCCACAGGAACAATAAGTACTTCATTCCCCAAATCCATGGCCCAGATGGAAACAACGTCAACCTTAAACTTCTCCCAAACATACATTCTTTTGAAATTGTGCAGATTATAGATTGAGAATCCTTTGACTCCTCCAATAAACAGATAGTCTTGTGAAACAGCCATACCACCAGGCATTTTGTTGAGCTGGGAAAACACAGACACAAAAAGACAAAACTAATTACATCAATGTCATCAAGCAACCTGGCCAACCTTTCAAAGAGGGCTCTTCCTAGACACATCACTGCCAAATGTGTACCTGTTGAAAATGCTTGCCTTATGCATTTTCCTTGGGGTAAAGGAGCCAGAGAAAACAAAAGCTGAGACTCATATCCAGAATATATGATATGAGTGCGACTGCAGGTCCTGTGCTCTCTTAAATCTAGCGTCCTGTGGGAAGATCAACAGCTGAATCACTGATAGTTCTCAATTGCCAAGCATGGAGTCTCAAAAATGCACCTGTGCTGTCGATGGAGAGCTCGGTAGGAATTCCTTCCTGCCCTGAATCAGGAATTTTCATTAACATTTAAATGAAAAAAAAAGAAACAGGCACTCTTATTCATACCTGGATTTCTGCAGCTGGAGGGTAGACGGTGGGCAGGATGCGGGTTTTCTCAATTTCCAGTAGACCCTCTCTTTCCTCAATGACTTCCCACGAGCGGTCAAATAGGTGGTTCACCAGCTTGTTGATCATTCGGTAAGGCTGAGGCAGCAAGTCCAGTTCTTCATCCACGTCCCAGAAGGCAAAATCCTTCTCGTCATCCTTAGGCCAGTCTGCCTCTGTTGGAGATGGGATCTCCAGTGGTCCCTTGGCAAACACAGACAGCCTTTGCTTCTGAGCCCGACTTCCTTTGAAGGATGACATCACAGCAGGGGGCGCTGAGAGCTTCCGGGGAACTCAAAGCTGAGAAACAGAGTGAACAGAGAGACTTTGAGAAAAAGGTAAACAAGAAGCTGGCCTTCTACAGCACAGCATCCCATAGGACCAGCTGTCTCAAACTGGACCTCCTTGTGTATTGTAGGATTGCTACCACATGCCAAAGATACGGTCTTCTTATTCACATGGGTATCAGAAGGGACAATTCTCCCAGGCTAACCCAAGATGAAGTGCATTGTGATAGAAGAATTTGGCATTCTGTTGTCTTTCTTCCTCTCCTGATAGGATAAGTAACTATCTTTTGTTCCAAATGGAATTCACTTAACAGCTAATACCTTTTCCTAATTGTCTGCCTTTGCAAATGACTTTGGTCAAGTTGCCTAGTCTCCCTGTTTCTTTTTCCTCAGGCCCAATCAGATGCAGCTCAGCACTTCCAATCTTTGTGGTGTAATCTGTTCCCTTAGCAGTCTCATTGGTGTCCCCCTGGGTTCTTTAGGACTCGTGTTCTGCGTGCCCTGCGTCTGTGCAATTCTTCAAGAGTCTACAGAAATGTCTGGGACATGGAGAGAATACTGACTAAAAGCCTGCAAAATCAGAATAATTAGACATTTCTAAAGTAGTTATAACAGCAGCTCCCTTCTATATATCTATATAAAGTACAAGCCTACAGGAAGGGAACAAATAATCTGTATTTCAAAAGCTTCGAAGTTGTGTGCAATTCTGTATAAGAGATTTCAAATGTTATCATTTTAATTACACACACATGTACACATGTGCCACAGTGCATGTGTGGTGTGGTGGTTTGAATGGGTAGATACGACCCTCGTGTTTGGACCATAGGGAATGGCATTATTAGGCTTGGTCTTGTTGGAGTGGTGTGGCCTTGTTAGAGGAAGTGTGTCACTTTTGGGGGCAGGTTTTGAGGTCTCACGTATGCTCAAGCTATGCCCAGTGTACAGTCTCTCCTTCTGCTGCCCAGGGATCAAGATGTAGAACTCTCAGCTCCTTCTCCAGCAACACATCTGCATGTCTCACCATGATGATAATGAACTAAACCTCTGAAACTGTAAGCCCAAGTAAATGTTTTCCTTTGTATGTGTTGCTGTGGTCATGGTTCTCTTCACAGCAATAGAACCCGAAACTAAGATATGTAGGGCTCAAGGAACAGCCTTCAGGAGTGGGTTCTCTCCTTCCACCACGTGAGTCCTAGAAATTGAATTCAGGTTTGGTGGCAAGTGCCTTTATCCACTGAGCCATCTTGCCAGCTGCTGTGATAGCTTTGAAAAGAATTTAATGAGAAAATTAAGAGGCATTTTAAGGTATTTAATTCAGAGCAGTACAGTCTTATATTGATAAAATGGCTGTGGTCTATGGAAGTCCTATAAAGATTGGGCTGTCATCGTGGTCCTTCCATGCATGCTGGAGAACATATGTGGTGCTTCCAGTAGGGACGGGTGAGGCTACCTGGGGCAAGGACCACTTGAAGTCATACAGAGCCAGTAATAATGTGGTTTCTTTAACTAGCTAGACCAGACAATCTCGTAAGTCACAAACTGAGTACAGCGTTCAGAAGAATCTAGCCTTGGTAGTGGGAAACATAAGCCCAAGAATCACTCTCTTGGAATGATGTATTAGAATGGAGAAACCCAAACTGCGTTTATGTAACTTAACTTTATCTCAGAACAAAGATTGAGAACTTTAACAAGAACATAAAAAAACCAAACCAAACTGAAAAAATCCAGCGTCACTTTGCAAATGCCACTGTCCTCTGTTGCTGCTTGCTGTCAACCATGGTCAACCCCCACTGTGTTCTTCAACATCCAGGTGGATAACCAGCCCTTGGACTGTGTTTCCTTAGAGCTGTCTACAGAGTTCCAAACACCAGGAAATCTTCATGCTCTGAGCATCAGAGAAAAGAGATGTATTTATATGGGCTCCTCTTTTCCTAGGGCTAGTCCAGGATTGATATGCCACAGTGGTGACTTCACACACCATAATGGCACTGTAGGAAAGTCCATCTATGAGGAGAAATCTGAGGGTGAGGCCATCCTGAAGCAAACAGTCCTGCCATCTCAGCCATGGTAGATGCTGGACCAAACATAGTTCTCAGTTTTTCTTCTGCACTGAAAAGTGTTAAGAGAAGCTTTTCTTTGAGAGGAGCCTTCCCGCCCGCCTGGTTCCAGATCCGCATCAGTCCCAAATAAACACACAGGAGGCTATATTAATTATGAAGCTGTTGGCCTTGCTTGTCTCTTACTGGCTAGCTCTGACTTAAGTAATTACCCCATAATTGTTAACCTAAGTATGTTTCTTACCGGAGAGGTTTCCGGGCTTCCTACCCCAATGGCGTTACATCTCGAACTCTCCTGTGTTTCTCCTTCCCAGAATCCTCCTGGACTCCTAGCCCCACCTATCTAGATTCCTATTGGCCAGCAATAATTTATTGACATATACACAGGACTTCCCCAACAGTAAAGACTGGGCTATTGGATGGTAAACCGTGGTCTTTGGAAAGGTGAAGGATGGAAGCCATGGAGCACTTTGGGTCCAGGAAAGGCAAAATCAGCAGGATCATCATTGCTGACTGTGGAAAGATCTGATACTGTTTGTTGTCATTGTTGTTTTTGAGACAAGGTCACACTATGTAGCCCTTGGTGTCCTGGAACTTTCTGGGTAGATCAGGTTGGCCTTAAACTCACAGAGATCCACCTGCTTCTGTCTCCTGCTTGCTGGGTTTGAAGGAACTCTTATATTTTTACTTGTGCATCTTAACAAGCCTCCAATACCCTATTTGCTCACAATATTCCATGAGTTTTGCATCCTTGCTGCAGGTCTTTGAGTTACATATTGCCTTGTTTGTTTTTTCTAGACAGGGTTTCTCTGTGCAGCCCTGGCTGTCCTGGAACTAGCTCTGTAGACCAGGCTGGCCTCAAACTCACAGAGATCCACCTGCCTCTGCTTCCTGAGTGCTGGGATTAAAAGCACGCACCACCCCACCCAGTTCCATATTATTTTTATTCCCCTCCATGCCCTAGTTGGATTGCAGAGGTGAGTTTATGATTATGAATTAAAATTAAGTAACCAGCATTTTAACTATATGCTAATGAAAGATTGAAAAACCCAGCATTCAATGATATGAAATAAGCAATGTTTGGGATACAATAAAAATGACCTAGCATGTGGACAGTCAAGAATATAAGCCATAATAAAGAGAAATAACTAAGAATTGGACCCAACTGGGAATTATTGCAGATATCAAAGTCAGCATGCAAAAATGTTGTAACTGCTGGGCACGGAGGTATATGCCTTTAAAGATGTATTTATTCTTATTTTATATTTATGTATGTTTTGCCTGCACATATGTATGTACACCACATTCATGCCTAGTACCTGTGGAAGTCAGAAGATAGTATCAGATCTTCTGGAACTGGAGTTTTGGATGGTTGTGAGATACCATGTGGATACTAGAAATGAAACCTGGGTCCTCTGGAAGGGCAACAAGTACTCTTAACTGGTGAGTTACCTCTCCAGCCCCTGGTACATACCTTTAACCCCAGCAAAGGCAGGCAGATCTCTGAGTAAGTAGTCAGCCTACTTTACATAGTGAGACCCTGTCTCAAAACAAAACAAACAAAAATCCCCAACAATCAGAGCCAAAGATTTCAGAGTACTCTTCTCTATCTGTAGATTAAAAGGACAGAACAATTAACAAGGATACAGACTGTCATGGTTTGAATGAAAGTGGCCCCCATCGGCTTATATATTTGAATGCTTCATTATCACTTGGGGTAACTATACGGGAAGGACAGGAGGTGTGGCCTTTTTCCTAGTTAGGGTTTTATTGCTGTGAAGAGACATCCTGATCTTGGCAACTCTTATAAAAGGAAACCATTTTACTAAGGCCAGCTTACAGTTCAGAGGTTTAGCCCATCATTGTCATGTTGGGAAGCATGGTGGCGTGCAGGCAGACACGGTGACGCGAAGGAGCCGAGAGTTTGACATCTGGATCCACAGGCAGCAGTGAGAGACTTTGAGCCACTAAACCTGGCTTGAGAACTCAAAGCCCACCCCCAGTGACACGCATTCTCCAACAAAGCCACACCCACTCCTACAAGGCCACACCTCCTATAGTGCACCACTCCCTATGAGTATACGGGGGGGGGGGGGCATTTTATTCAAACCACCCCAACCTTGTTAGAGGAGATTTGTCACGGGGCGGTGGGCTTTGAGGTTTCAAATCCCATGCCATTTTCCAGTGTTTCTCTTTGCTTCATGGGTGTGGTCTCAACACGTAAGCTCTCAGCTACTGCTCCAGTGCATGCCTGCCTGCCCGCCTACTGCTCCAGTGCATGCCTGCTTGACAGCCTACTGCTCCAGTGCATGCCCGCCTGCCCGCCTACTGCTCCAGTGCATGCCCGCCTGCCCGCCTACTGCTCCAGCGCATGCCTGCCTGCCCGCCTACTGCTCCAGTGCATGCCTGCTTGACAGCCTACTGCTCCAGTGCATGCCCGCCTGCCCGCCTACTGCTCCAGCGCATGCCTGCCTGCCCGCCTACTGCTCCAGTGCATGCCTGCTTGACCGCCTACTGCTCCAGTGCATGCCCGCCTGCCCGCCTACTGCTCCAGCGCATGCCTGCCTGCCCGCCTACTGCTCCAGTGCATGCCTGCTTGACCGCCTACTGCTCCAGTGCATGCCTGCCTGCCCGCCCGCCTACTGCTCCAGCGCATGCCTGCCTACCCACCTACTGCTCCAGCGCATGGCTGCCTGCCCACCTACTGCTCCAGTGCATGGCTGCCTGCCCGCCTACTGCTCCAGTGCATGCCTGCCCGCCCGCCTACTGCTCCAGCGCATGCCTGCCTGCCCGCCTACTGCTCCAGCGCATGCATGCCTGCCCGCCTACTGCTCCAGTGCATGCCTGCATGTCCGCCTACTGCTCCAGTGCATGCCTGCCCGCCTGCCCGCCTACTGCTCCAGTGCATGCCTGCCTGCCCGCCTACTGCTCCAGTGCATGCCTGCCTGCCCGCCTA